GCGCTCATGGCCCGCTTCGGCCACGACACGTCGCCCCCCGCCCGTATACGACGGGCCTCGGGAGATACGATATACCCGCTGTGCGATTGATGCGTGTACTAACTGTGTTTTCTCATTTTATCTTTTGCAGGAACGGAGTGTGTTTCTCTTTTTTATTTTCATGGACGTATTGCTTGTTTCTTTGCTGCGCCCCGAGTGCGTGCTCCGTGTGCCCTGCGGCCGGGCGGCGCGAAATGTCGTCGCTGGCTGCGCGTAGAGCTTTCGGCCTTCCCCGCCTTCGGCCCTCGTGCGGGGTGGCGGGGTGGCCGGCGGGCGCCAGCTGCGTTTTGCTGCGGGCCGGCTTCTGCCGGGGTACGCGGCGCGGGTGTGCGCGTGGGTGCTGGGCCGCCAATGAGGGGCGTGCCTGGGCGTGTGCCTCGCTTGTCTTTGCTTATTACGTCGCTGGGTGCGCGACGGGGAATGTGCGGGGTTGGGGGTTTGTGTGCGTGTTCTTTATTTGCTTTTCGCCTGCCTGCCCGCGCCTCCCGCCCTCGCTCTCTCGCTTTCTGCCCTGTGGGTTTTTATGCGGCGCTGCGCACGGGATGTGGACGGCGCGGCCGTGCGGGTGCCGTGGGCGGCTGTGAGCGAGTTGCGTGGCAGCCGGTGTGAGTTCTCGCGAGGAGGTCGCGGCGGGTGCGCCACTGCGTGCGGGCGTTGTGGCGCGGACGAGGGGCCTGCAGCTCCTCCTCCTCCTCGTGGGGGCGGGGCTGCGCCTCCGAACAGCTCCCTGCGCTGGGTGGTGGACGGCAGCGAATGGGAAGAGAGAGAATAAAAGAGAGAGAGAGAGAGAGACTGAGCGAGAGCCGCAGCAGACGGGGTGGTCGGGCGTTGCCTCCCCCTACCGGCGATGGGCGCCGGTTGCCGGGGGCCGGTCTTGGCGCTGCGGCGGGGGTTGTGCGACAGAAGCGCGTGCGCCGTTCCCACCGGCGTGGGCGGCGCTTCTTTTTTTCCACGCCCGTCGCCACCGCGACGTTTGGCTGGCGCCGGCGAGGGGCGCACACGTGGCGCGCGGGTGTACTTCCGCCGCCGCCCCGGCGCCGAGGACGACGGGCCGGCAGGCGGCCGACAGACGAAAACAAAACAAAATGAAAAGCAGGAGGTGGCTGGTGGTCGAGGGCGAATAAAAAAAAGAAAAAGAGGGGAAGGGGGCGGACTTTGAGTTGCCGCTGCCTGCGTGTGTGTGTGTGTGTGTGCCGAACACGCACTGAAACCGAAGGGGAGGGCGCGTTAGGGACGTTTTCTCGTTTGTTTGTTTTATGTTGGTGGCAGGCAAGAACGAAGCGACAAGGAAGAAAAAAAGGAATAGAAGGAAAAACAATAAAAGAGCAAAGCGATGTGCCGTCGCCAGAGGTCGGAGTCCGCCGTAGCCCGGCAACACCGCGGGCCCGACTTTGTTCTTGTTGGCGTGCCCATGCTGCAGTCGCCGGAGGGCTCCTCCAGCGACGACGACGACGACGACAACGACGACGCCCGTCGCCCCGAAAATGTGCCTGCGGCGGCCGTACAGCGCCAGCCGCACCCGCCGAACCGGCCGCAGCGGATGCAGCACAAGCGGGCGCAGCCGCCACAGGACGGAGTTCCCTGCGGTAGACACACTGAGGCTGTGAAGGTGCGAGAAGCTGCGGTCACGCCTCTCGGTCATCGCAACTACGCCCAGGACGAGCGTGAGACGGCTGACTCGAGCGTGGGTGCCAGCAGCCTCTACCGAGCCGAGAGCAGCGTTGAACTGGCTACCAAGCCCTCCCTCTTCGCGACTTCTGTGGGGCGTTCTACCTTCACCTCTGCTCGCAGCGAAGGCAGAGGGATGCCGAGTGCATGGCTGCGTCCAGCCCCCATGGCCCCCGAGGAGCACGACAGCGAAGGGGATACCGTCGACGTTTCCACGGGTCCGGATGAAGCGGAGCAATCGCTGCAGAACCGCTTTTTGAACTATCTGAGGGGTCGCTCGCATTTGCTCGCCCCAAAGAGTGTGGTTGACCTCGGAAGTTTCTGTACGCATGCGGGCTCGGCGCCTGGGGGCGGAAACCCCCTACAGTATCCCGCGGACCAGCTGAACAATGGCGGAAGCCTCTTCCTCTACTCAACCGGCACGGAGAGGCACAAGAGCCTGGCGTCCGCCGTGCCCCGCGCCGACATTTTACTGGGCTCTTTCCTACAAACGAGTGGGTTTTATGGGCTTGCGCGGCGGGCGATGGAGTCGCCAGGGACGCGGCCGAACGGACCTGTTGGCGTCCTCAGCGACCAGTGGGGGATCGACAGCTACACCGTACTGCCGCAGGTCGGCAGCCCAAAGGTGCTCGGCGAGTGGGTGCCCGCGCGCGTCCCCGAAGTCAAGTACGGGCGGCGGAACGGACGCCTTCCGGAGGTCGCCCCGGCAAGCAGGACAGTCGCCGTGGCGCAGCCAGCGAAGCGCTGGCGGAGAGTGCCGCAGCGGCCGGAGCGTAGGGTCTCCCCCGCGTATGCGTGGGGGGACGGCTTTGCGGAGGATGGGCCCTTCCCGCTGAACATTTCCAGTCCGCTGGGCGAGGCCCGCTGCTCCCCGGAGCTTTTCTCGCTCCGGGAGCCGGTGGTGGCGACCCCCTTCGTCTGCGCCTGTGAGGCGGAGTACCCCATGTATAGGACGGAGGCGACGTCGCCGCGCGGCGTCCCGTGTCGGAGACGCCTTCTCGCCCCATGACGGCGCTGAGGCTGCGCGGGGACAAGTCTGCCGCACACTCACCCGCCCTGTTTTGTTTAGTTTTTTCACGATTCCTCCTCTTTTCTCGCTTATTTCGATCTTTTCTTTCTGGTGGAGGGGGGACCTCGGCGTCGTCGTCACGGCAATGGGACGGTATGCGTAAAGGAGTCCCTAGTGGGGCCGACGCTTGACCCCACGTCCACCACGAATCTGTGATTATGCCTATTCTTGTGTTTGCCCTTTCCTCCTCTCTCTCCCTCTCTCTCTCCACCACACACGTTTTCTTTTTCTTCTATTATGTGTATCTGTGAGTGTGTGTGCGTGGTTGTATTGTCCATCGTTTATACGAAGGCCCGCCGCCTTCGTTCTCGACAGTGTAGGAGCACGCCGGGCGTGAATGCGCATGCATTCAGAGACTGCGCATGCGGAAGCGCTGTTTGTGTGTGCGTGTGTGTCTGTGAAGCCAAAAGAAAAACGTGCTCATTTAAATTATATATATATATATTCTTTGTCGTTTCTTTTCTCTTCTGTTTGTTTGTTTGTTTTTGTCTGTGCTTCCCCTCGCCTGAGGTGCCCGTTCACCTGTTTCTTTCCGGGATGCTGGTCGACTGACCCTCGCGCCTCCCCCCTCCGCTTCGCTCCCTTTCCCGCCTTTTACCTGCCTCTTTCTTTCTCTCGCCCCATTTATGTATTTATTTCTGCCGGCCGCCCCCAGCGTTTCTGCAGGTGTGCAATGTCCTGCAACGCCGGCGGCAGCAATCTCTCCGGCAACGACCTCGTGGACTGGCTGGACGTCCTGCCGTTCTACGCCTTCGACTTCCAGGCGGAGACTTCCCGGCCGCCGCCCGGCGGGAGTGGCTCGCCGGGCGCCGCGCCCCACAGCAGCAGCAGCAGCAGCTCGAGCGGCACCCCCGACGCCTTCACCTGGGAACGCGACGCCGCGTGCGTCCCGCTCTCCGTGCAGCTGGGGGCGGGCGCGGGGCCCGGCGAGCCGCTCCCCCTCTGCAGGCCGAGCACCGCCCTGCAGCTGCGGGGCCCGCGGAGCCCGACGGGGCGCGTCACGGCAACGCTGCATCGCTCGAACAGCGTCGACGTCTACGGCCGCGTCGTCACCCGCCACTCGATCACCTCCCACCCGCGGCCGGGGCTGCGGGTGGAGATCCCGGAGGATAACCCGGAGGAGTACCACCTCGAGCTCGCGACGCTGCTGCAGCAAAAGCAGAGCGGGCGCAACAGCCTGCGCGGCCCTGAAGTAGTGCTCTCCGCCGGCAACTGCGGCGGGGGCGAGGAGGGCAGCGGCAGCCGGTCCCAGTCCGTCACGCTGCTTTTGCCCCCATCCATCACCCACACACGCGGCTCCCTCGGCGCGGAGGACGCGTTGCCGAGCGACCCCCCGCTGGGCACCTCCCGGCAACTACTCGGCGCGGAGTCGAGGGAAAAGTACCAGCCCTGTACGACTCCCTCCCATCGCGACAGCCCCGACGCACGAGCGCTGGCGGCAAAAGCAGTGAAGACGAGCTCCTACTCTGTCGCTCCCGTGGTAAGGGTGAGGGGCGTAGCTGAGAGGAAACGAGTTGCTGGAGGCGCCCGACCACGGCACGAAAAGCCGCATAACGGCAACTCCACTATAAATACTTCTAGGAAGGGGAAGGAAAACCCCCCGCAGGGAAGCTGTATTTCCAGACTTTTCTGTATGTCATAAATGGGTAATCCTTGCTCCATTGTTTTTTTCTATTTTATTGTCTTGTTTTTTTTTCGTTTCATGTGGCTGTTATCCTATTTTTTTTCCTGTGTGTCTGTGTCCGTGTGTGTAGATGTTTCTCAGTTATGTTTTGCTTTTGTTTTTTTTCTTATGTGTATAACGTTCCTCCCTGTACCCGTGTGTATAACAGTGACAGGCGACGGTTGGTGCGTTTTGTGCTTGTACTGTATTCCGTTGCTATTGCCGTGTGTGCGCATGTGTGCGTGCGGTTCCGGGCCTCGGTGTGGTGTCCGCCGCCTGCGTGCGTGGAGAGGGCTGGGGGGAAAACAAAGCGGGGAAGAAAGAGAGGGGAGGCGGGGGGAGGTGACGCTTTTCTTTCGGGGGGAGCGAGTAACGCGTGGTGCGGCGGTGTTAGATGCCCGGCACGCGCGATGCCCCATTTCCACTCGCGGGCGCCTCTCCCTCTCCCTCTCGCGTTCCCGCGTTTTTCCGTTGGGCCCTTCCGCCCGCGTTTCTCCCTCCTCCTGCCGGTGGCCCATGGCCGCGCGCCCGCGGTCCCCCCCCCACCCCGACGCCTGCCCGCGCCGTTTATTTCTCTCGAGGTGCACCTTGCGGGGCGCACGCGCCGAGGTGGCGGTGTGTGTGTTTAGCGCTGACGCCAAAGAGAGAGAGGGAGGGGGGCTCGCGTGGGCGCCCCTGCCGGCACGCCACCGTGCGCGGCTTGCAGGGACTCCAGCTGTTGGCTTCGTCGGCTTTTCGTGTGCTTTTTTTTTTGGTGGGTCTCGCATCTGTCCCTCCCCACAGACACGCGTTCGCTCTTTGTCGCCTGCTTTTGTTGATTTCTCTCCTCTCCTCTCCTCTCTCTGCGCGCACGCGTCTGTGGTCTGCCGCGGCTTCGCGTGGCCGTCCGCCGCTTTTGGCGGCACAATAACTACACGCAAAGGCGCGCGAGCAGGCAAGCAAACACACAAACAAGGAAGCAAAAAGGAAAAAAAAAAGGCAACCGCTGGGCGGGCGTCGGCGATGTTCTTCCCTGACCTCTGCGGTGACGTGCGGCTGATGGAGTACATGCAGCAGCGCGGGGCGGTCCACCAGGTGGTCGCCGAGAAGCAGTGGCAGCAGCAGCTGTGGCAGCAGCAGCAGCAGCAGTGGCAGCAGATGATGATGATGATGGGGCAGGGGCCCGTGCCGATGGGCGGCGACGGCAACCCCGCCCCGCCGTCCGAGAAATTTCTGAACGAGCTTGACAACATGCAGATCCCGGAGGAGCGCCCGGCGGCTACTGAGCGGCCTCACGCGGAACCGACGCAGGGCGGCGGCGGCGAGGGAGACTGCGGCCGGTAAAGCGAAGATGCCGCGGCGGCAAATATATATATATATATGCGCCTCGCGCGCCAATAGTTGTGCTGGCATGCACAGAAGGGACGGCAAGGCGCTTCACTGTAGCGGGTCTAAAAGAGGCACACAACCCTTCTTCTTTTTTCCCTTTTTCCCCTTCCCTGCTTCTTCATCGTCTCCCCACTGCATCGCCGAGTGGGACTAACGCAGGGCGTTGAGCAGGGCCTCGCCGC